ACTCTGCTTGTGTTAAGTCACTTAACCTTGTGTGGAGACCATCTTCTGCCCCTGGAACCTCAAGCTGGTGTCTCAGTAGCTGATTTCTTCCCTCCATGGGAGCAAGAATGGAGCTCACCTGAGATGATACTGCTGGTGTCCTACCAGAGGACAAATCATTTCAAATATGTCCTTCAGAGAATCAATGGGTTAAGTGTAGACTCATCTATTCTCTCAGCCACAAGCTGTGACCACAAGCATATTGCCCTCCGTCCTAGCCACCTACAACTTCCATTCCAGATTGGCAGCTGCCATCTTGGTCCAAGTCCTATCCCAACATGGCCCCACCATACTTCTTTAACTTTATTTCTAAACATCAGCTTTCCTTTGTCAGTTGCACTGATTCTACAAGCAGCGTAGAATCCCCTATGAGCTCATGTCTGAATCCCCTATGAGCTCATCCATATAAATAAGTGAACACAGACTTTTCTTCCCCTGTGAAATTTTACCTTTAGGGGAAGGTAGTAAGAGTTCCTAAGGATCCTGACCCCCATACGGCCCTGACGTATCACAGTGGTAGTTTTCTTTTGGTGGGAGTTCCTTCTCCAAAACTTAATTTTTGGTGATTTAATGTGTTAGTCTCCAAAGGAGGCTCTAATAATCTTGCCCCTCCCCATACATGTGGGCTGCCACCTACTTTAAGAGTTGGCATCAATTTCCTTTGCCCTTGAATCTGGGCTGGCCTTGTGACTTGCTTTGATCAACAGAACGTGGTGGACTTCTGAGTTCTTGCCTTCAGAGGACTGGCAGCTTCTGCTTCCTCTCTCTTGGAAGCCAGCCAGCCACTATGTGAGTGGCCTGAGTACACTATTAGAAAGAGCAGTTACCCAAGTAGAGGCCTGAAGCCATGTTGGATGTCCTAGCCCCAGCAGAGCCCCCAGGGGAATGCAGCCACCTGACTGGGCCCTGATGAGAGCAGCAGAAGAACCACCGAGCTGAACCTCAGCCAACCCACAGGAGTAGGAGAAATGGTAAGCCGTTGTTGCCTTAGGCCACAAGGGTTTGGGGCGGCTTGTTATACAGCAACAGAGAACTGAAACACCTTACTTGACAAAAGGTCAGACCAAGTTCAGGAGGAATGATACAGCTGGGTCTCTGGGAAGAAGAGCTCAGTTTATTGACTTGAACTTTTGTTTTTCGGGGACGCCACAAATATCCCAGGCAAGGAACCACAGAGTCGTCTTTGATTCTTCTCGCTGTTTCATCCCTTATATATTCTACTTGTCATCAAGTTCTGTCTTCTTCCTAAACGTATCTTGGATTTAACCCTTCCTGTCTTATCTCACTGCTGCCATCACAGCTCAGACCCTGATCCGCTGGATTTAGAAATCTGCACCCATCCTCTCCTCCTGGATTTCCTTCCTTGGACCCATTCTGCAAGTGGGCCCTGGGCTCATCTTCCTAAACTAGGGCTTTCAGTATGTCAGTCCCCATCTGGCCAACTCTGGCTTTCGAGGTTTCGAGGCCTCATCTGGTCCCTCCTTGTCCACTCGTCTACTTGGGCAATGTGGTCCCCAGCCCATGCGCACAACCCCAGGCCCTTCCTCCAAGTCCTTGTCGGGCTGTTACCCGACCTGGTATGCTCTGATCCATCTAGCCCCATCTGCCTCTCTCTGTAATGACTCCAACCTCCACAACCACACCGAGAGCCCTCTCATCTGCAAAAACTCACAGCTCTCCACCTCCTAATTCAATCGTATTTATAAACCTGGTGGGCTGGTCTCCAATTTCCTCCCATGTTTATAACTCCATTCCTAATTACGTTTTAAGATTTACAGTAGGGACTCTCTCTTATGTTTATGTATATTCCTCCAGGCAAGCGCTACTGTAAAGGTGTTCAGTAAACTCAACCGTGTTGACCTGAATGATTTTCCATTTTTAAGTTAGTAGTATGACTTGCCCAACCGTGCTTCAGAACATTTTGGAAATATAGTATATATCTGTCATTGAGGAAAATGGCCATTGGTTCAGAAAGTTCTTTTTTTTCCCTCATGGAAAATTAAATAATACCTACTGCCAAAAACCAAAAACAATCGAGTATCCACCAGATCTGAGACCATAAAACTGCGCTGTGAGAACGAATGCAGGGCCTCTTGTGTTCTCTGACTGCAGAGCCACACCAGGCCCGAGGGGAGTGGTCCCTGCAACAGCTGAGGCACGCCACCGAGCCCCGTGGCTAGTCAGATAAAGAAGGAATGGGCAGAAATAACACACAGGTTAGGAATAACCTATTTAGGAATTGTATGGCGGGAACATGCCAATAGCAGTCCATTCCCTGGGGAAAGCACAGGCCACCGTAGCACCTGCTAGAATTTCCACGCCCACCAAGTGCTGGGCCCTGGACTTAGGGTTGTGTGTACTTTATGCACTGGATCTTCAAAAGAACCCTAGAAGGCACAAATGAGGAGACCAAGGCTCAGAGCAGAGCCATTTTGCCGAAAGCCACTAAACGATTAAGATTCAAACCTAAGGCCATGTGACTCTGACATCTACATTCTTTCCACTAACTTGTGTTGTCTTTCTTACTGGAAGAGACATGATAACACATTATCAGGAATATTTAATGAGCACCGTTATGGCCTACCCTGTGCTAGGTGTTGGGGGAGACTGGCACAATGCATGGCTTAGGGGGAGGGGAAGTCCCCCTAGATTCCATCAGCACCCTCCCCAAATCAACATACCACCCATGTAAAAAGAGAGCATGTGCTTGGCAAATCCAGCTTCCAGAGGAGTCCCCTGTTCCACCTTAAGCCTCTCCTTCACAGAAATTCCAGAGCTACCCCTGCTCCTGTCTTTGAACGGCTTAGTGTGGCTGGGAAAACAAAACTGCTCACATGAAGCAAGAATGAACAGTATGAAGCAGGATTCTGACATATGCTAATTTAATGCTAATCTAAAAGGGCTCGATGCAACAAAAACGTTAAGTAACTGAAACAGCCAGAGGGAGGAGGTGCAAAAAAACAAGTCTGCATCATTTATATTACTACTGTTCATTCCAATATTGCTTCGGCTGTCAGCTAAAGTTTCGGGCTTCCTTTTAGCTGTGAAGTGCGAATGATGCTCCCAGATGTGTCTTGTTTTTTTTTTTTTTTAAGATTTTATTTATTTATGACAGAGAGAGTGCGAGAGGGAACGCAGCATGGGGGAGCTGGAGAGGAAGAAGCAGGCTCCCTGCTGAGCAAGGAGCCCGATATGGGGCTCAATCCCAGGATACTGAGCTGAAGGCGGACAGACACTTAATGGCTGAGCCACCCAGGTGCCCCAGATGTGCCCTTTTTGAGGTGAAGTTCAAACCATGCAGTGAAGATTCGGTGTTGGGAGAGCCGCCCTCCCCCCACACCCAGGCCTGGAAAAGGCTGCTGATATAGTGTTTCATGCCAAGGGTCCAAGTCCGGGGAGCCCCTTCCCAGCTGAGAACAGCTGGGCAGGGAACACCCTCGGAGACGGCCCAATATTCTACAGAGTGATTCTGCTGTGCGGCGAATGCTTCCTGGATACCATCACAGCCTGCTGTCCTCCTGGGGCTTGGGATTTCCTAAACTCAAAGAAGACAAGAAAATGACTTCGAGCTAAGAGCTTGAACTGCAGACCCTCTGTCGCCACTGACTTAATCCTTTGGTTTCCACAATGTCAAAAAGGCACTCTTAATAATTTGGCATACTTTCAGAATTTCAAACTCTAATTCCCAAACAATTCACCAAGAAAATTCTCCAGAATGACCTCAATAGTAGCCTGGATCCATCCCAGGGCCCCTGTTTTCAAGGAAATAAAGGAAATGGAGCTGTTCTCGAGAACTGGAGGGAAAGGGCACTGGTCTTGCCACAAGGAGCCCTAGATTTAAATCCAATTTGGCTCAGGGTATAATCCTCATCAGGTCACCTCACTACTCTAGGCTCATTGTCTCATCTAAACAATGGGGGGTGGGGAGTGGACACACCACCCGCTTCACAACGCTGCTGGAAAGGTTAAGCGAGGTAATGTGAACGAATAGAAGTGTTTTATACACAGTCGGTACTCAATAATAGTTGAAATAAAAGCTGAAACATACTAAACATCAGTGATGACATTAAAATGCAAAAAGTGCTAACAGAGACAAAACATTTTCTGTAATTCAGAGACTGCCTTGACCACCCCTGCCAAAGTGCCCTTGGCTTTTTACTCAAGCTCTGAACATAGCTTTAAAAACTCTTATTAGGGATCATGCTTGGAAGCATATTTGTAAGGAACAACAAATCTGTTTTAACAAGGCCAGGGTGTCATTTAATTAAAAGGAACTTGAGCCAGTGAAGTCACCAAAGGCCCCATTTTGCAGAGATGCCATGGTGGCATCCCCTTAGGATTCCTCTGTGCAAATGATGCAATCTCTGGAGAACTTCTCACGGATTAAAAGGGGGACACTTCACCCCAAATCCCTAACACAGAAGCTTGAGGAGCTATGGAGAAACATCTTCTGACACTCCACACTCTTCAGCCTCATCACCATCTTCCCAGGTCAAGTCCAGGCTCCATACCCACAAGATGGTCGTCCATTATCTGGCCCCACCTCATTCTTCTCAGACCTCATCTCTTGCCCTGCCTTCCTTTTTTTTTTTTTTTAAGTTAAAAGTCCTTAATTTTTTATTCCTGTACCACTACCACAATTTACAGGGCAATATACCTGACGTAATGAAAAGAAAAAGATAGACGAAGCTACAACAGATAAAAGACTGCAGGAATGTACATCCGATTGACACTACATTGCATTAACCAGTAGCTGCACTATGTTGTAAACTGTGGCTATGGCAGTCCTGAGCAAGAAGGCTTTCCTCTTTAAGCTGCAGTAACTTTTGTGACTACGGATCTTTGTTCTTTCTGTGGCAGATTTTTACCGTTCCTCTAATGCATTTCGGACGACCGTCTCAAAGTAACCTGCAACTTTCCTGACAACTCCTCGCTCTCTTTCCTGCTAAGAACTGCAGCCCTTTTCTTCTGAAAAATTTTTAGAACCTTCTGCTACCATATCCACCACTTCCACCACCAGATCCACAACCACCACCATAGGGACTGCCCGAGCTTCTTCCACCAAAACTGCCCCCCCCCTTCATGGGTCCATAATTGGATTGCTGTTGTCCACTATAATTTCCACAATCATTATAGTTCCCACCACCATAGTTAGCTCCAAAATTTCCTCCTTCATTGTAACCACCATATCCTCTACCACCACCTCCATATCCACCTCCTTTGTTTTCATATCCTGGTCCACCACCCCCATAGCCTCCTCTACTCCTATAACCAGGACCACCACCATAATTGCCACCATCACCTCCAAATCCATTATATCCACCATCACCTCCACCATAACTCCCTCTTCTGCTACCACCTCCACCACCACAACCTCCTCTTCCACCAAAGTTTCCACCACCTCCAAAGTTTCCTCCACGACCTCTTTGTGAGCCAGCAGACTGCATTTCTTCTTTAGAAAGGGCTTTTTTCACTTCGCAACTATGCCCATTAATAGTGTGGTATTTCTGAACAACAATTTTAATAACTGTATCATGATCATCAAAAGTTACAAAAGCATGGGCGCCTGGGTGGCTCAGTGGGTTGAGCCGCTGCCTTCGGCTCAGGTCATGATCCCAGGTCCTGGGTTCGAGCCCCGCATCGGGCTTTCTGCTCAGCGGGGAGCCTGCTTCCTCCTCTCTCTCTGCCTGCCTCTCTGCCTACTTGTGATTTCTCTCTGTCAAATACATAAATAAAATCTTTAAAAAAAAAAAAAGTTACAAAAGCAAATCTCTTTTTTCCACTCCGTCTGTCTTCCATAACTTCTATGGTTTCAATTTTGCCATACTTTTCAAAGTAGTCTCTCAAATTATATTCTTCTGTATCTCCTTTAATATCACCAACAAAAATTTTCTTCACTGTTAGATGGGCACCAGGCTTTACAGAATTCTTTCTAGAAACAGCGCTCTTTGGTTCCACTACATCCCCATCAAACTTGTGTGGTCAAGCACATACTGCTGTATCCACCTCTTCAACACAAGAGTAAGTCACAAAACCAAAACCCCCGGAATGTTTTGTTTGGGGGTCTCTCATCTCCACACAATCTGTAAGTGCACCCCACTTTTCAAAATGTTCTCTTAAACTATCATCTGTAGTTCCAAAGCTCAAACCACCAATAAACAGTTTTCTCAACTGCTCTGGTTCCTTTGGATAATGGCCCTCCTCCCCTGGTGGCAGTGGCTGGAGATGGGCTGGGTGTGACTAGGCAGCGGTTTTACCTCCATTTTATGACACGACTCGCCTCTTCCAACTCGACTTCAATATGGGACCGAGAGGAAGAGCTGCCTTTCCTTCTTATATCTCTATCTCAGCAACATTGATTTTGCCTGGGAATTCACTAGTGTGTGAGTGCATGCACACTATTCCTTCTACCCCGCTGCCCTCCCTACTCCACCCAACCCTAACATCTAGAACCTGGCTGCTTCAAGTGTGATCCTACAACTCTGCATCCCAGGGTCTGGTTATAACTGCAGAGTCTCTAGCCTGCCCTAGACCTACTGAATCAGAATCTGCATTTTAATAAAATCCCCATAACTACTATATTTTCATGAGGAAACTTAAAGTTGGAGAAGCCCTGTTGCCAAGATCCTACCTCTTCCAGAAGCCCTCCTTGATAACCAGTGGCCCCTGCCTCCCACCATGCCAGGGAAGATGCCCCTCCTTCAGTGCTCCCAACCTTTTCTCCTCTCATTTATTACAGAGTATCTTGTATATGCTTATCTGTCTGTCTTTTGCTCTAGACTAGGGGGTCCCCACAGACCACACCATCCTTGTGTCCCCTGTGCTGTACAAGGTATGGCATATGACTGGAGCTTAAAAAATGACACTTGTCACAGCTAGTAATAAACTCCTTGTGATTCTCAACTTTAATAACCAACTTTAAATAACTTTTATAACTAGCTTTAACTTTAATAATAATAACTTTAAATAACTAGAAGTTTATAAAGTTTAATAACTAAAATTTTAACCACTAACTTTATTTTTATTTATTTTTTTAGAGAGGGAGGGGGTGAGGGAGAGGGAAAGAGAGAATCCCAAGCGGGCTCCAGGCCCAGCTCAAAGCTCAATCTCACAACCCTGAGATCATGACCTGAGCTGAAATCAAGATTTGGACACTTAAGTGACTGAACCACCCAGGTGTCCCTTATCACTAACTTTAATAACTAACTCAGATACCTGTGAGCTATATGCAAATTATCTCAATTCAGGTTAATTAGGTTAATCATGTTATACATCTGAACCCAGATACTTTGAATGTATTTATATATTTATTTTGAAATATTTAAAATATACAATTTTAAGATATCACAGAATTAACTTTTTATAATGGAAACTTTCAAACATATAAAAAAGCAGGAAGGAATAATGAGCCCATTGTCATGCAGCATCAAAAAACATCTACTTTTTTTTTTAAACCATTCTAGTTTCATCTATTTCACTCATCTGACCCATTCACTCTTTGGGAGATGAGGTCATTTTAAAATACATTCCAGACATATTATCAATTTCAACCACAAATATTTCAGTATGTATCTATAATTTCAAATGACTTAAACAATTATTTGTATATCTCCACCATGCCATTATTGTACCTAATAAAATTAACAGTGGTTTCTTAATATAATCTAATAGTCTATGTTCCAATTTCCCTATTTCAAAGATGAATTTGGGGGCGCCTGGGTGGTTCAGTGGGTTAAAGCCTCTGCCTTCGGCTCAGGTCTTGATCCCAGGGTCCTGGGATCGAGCCCCGCATCAGGCTCTCTGCTCAGCGGGGAGCCTGCTTCCTCCTCTCTCTCTGCCTGCCTCTCTGCCTACTTGTGATCTCTGTCAAATAAATAAATAAAATCTTAAAAAAAAAAAAAGATGAATTTGTATAGTTGAGTTTGTAGAAATCGGGTGAATGTTTTATAGCAAACAAAGAATGGCTCTCAGCAATGATAAAGTATATTTCTCATGCCTGTGGTTTCAGGCCCATGTCGGCTATGTGGAGGAAATTATATTTGCCGTTAAATGCCATTTGCAGGTTCCCCTCCACCTCAGAACTAGATTACTTAAACTTTTACAAAACTATCCCAAATTTTTAAAAAGAATCTAGATAAAACAGAACAAATCAAAAGCCATGCTGAGGCCCATCACATCCTTTGCAAGCAATGAAATAAATGGGAATTAGAATGGAAAGGATGATTACTTAACAAGAAAGAAATAAGCAAAGAACAGATACTAAGCCAAATGGTTTCCGCCTGGTTTAGCCAAACCAACAGGACTGAGTTGTAGAGGATGGGATCTAGAGGGATGGGAACCTTGAGGACTTTTTGAGGAAATTTGCTTTTAATGATCTGTATTTCTTCTGTCCACAATAGAAACTTGGGGTTTCTGAGAAACATACTGGTCCATGTGGTTTGAAGAGCATAACCAATTACCTCAGAGTTGTTCTCTTTTTAACAGTTATGTTCTGGGTCGGGGGTGGGGTGAGTCTGGTGGCGGGTATTAAGGAGGGCACGTATTGCATGGAGCACTGGGTGTGGTGCATAAACAATGAATTTTGGAACGCTGAAAAAAATAAAAATAAAATCTTTAAAAAAATTAATTAAAAAAAATAATGGTTATGTTCTGATCCATGCTCCACAGGTCAAGAGCACAGTTCAAGTTTCTCTTTTTCCCTGTGTGAATCAGACTTCATCACTGCCTCCCTGCTTGTCTTAGCTCTGTCCAAAACATGCTGCCGGGCAGAGATTCCGGTCGCCACACAATGGCCTGCCATTCAACCACATTCTGTTTTGTCCCTAAACATCCACTCCCCCGGCTCCTGCTGGGTCTGTTATATTCAGATATGAACTTTCCAGGAATCTGATCATGTCACAGGCCTTTTCCTGTATGACAAGTTCAATGTTAATCATGAATAGTGGGCTTCGCACAGAGGGTTAGTATTATTCATGAAAATTAGGACTCCACATCCAGAAATAGGGCAAAACTGGCCTAAAATAGGCTGGTTGTATCTCTGTCAAGTCCACTAGGCAACTACCAAGGCCTCTTCCTTCAACCAGCACAGGAGTTTTTCTCAACTACATTAATCAGACACTCAAGGAGCACAATGTTCTCCCAGACTCTCAAAGTCTGAGGCTCAGCTAGATGGGGAGCCCCGGTACCCACAGGGTGAACGGAAGGGTTTTCTAAAGAACCAAAGCCAGATACTGTTCCCTCCCAGCACCCCCCCTAAATCAGGTACTCCCCAGCTCTCATTCCCAACCTCTGTATGCTTCCCTGCCCGGACCATTTCAAGGCCAACTTTAGACGTTTTGAGAAGGCTACTAAAGGGCCATAAAAAAAGGAAATGATATTTAATTTTCCTTTTTTGGAAGAGCGAGGCACATCCTGCAAATATTAGGAATGAGAGGGGTACTACATGGGTTGTATCATTTTTCGGTAATTCTCTCTTCTGGAACTTAGTTTCAGTGACCACATGAGTCCGCTCCCATTGGCCCAAATTATATTTTATAAATGCAAGTTGAGGATTATCTTTCCAAATAAAAGCAGCCAGATTGAAATCCCCTCCTCGCCATTCCTGAGAGAATGACACAGGCTAGTACTAAAAGACTATCTTTGTGTAGAACAAATGGACCGAGGAAAATCTGCTTTCCTCTCCCCCTGCCCCTTTCTTCTTTACATAACTAGAGCCAAATGAGATGTTTTTCATTTTAAAAATTTGATTAAGCAGACTGAGCAAAAGCCCATTCTGCTGGTCTTTACTGCCTTCTCAATTTTGGGACTGAATCAAGGCATACTCGGGTTGGAAGGAGAGTGAAGCCAGAGCCTCGCTGCCAGGCAATGGTCTCGTTTGGAAATTTGTAACTTTTGGAAGGTGAGAGGTGGGGCCTGCAGCACCCCTTCCCCATGAGGCAGCAAAATTCAGACTGCTGTGGTGGGCATGAGTGAGAGGTCCCAGGTCCCTCACAAACCTCCGTATCACTCTATATACACAGCCTCTGGGGCTGACGTGTGAGGAAGGTGACAGGATAAGGAGTAAGGGGAAATAGTATGGTAAAAAACAACCCAGGTAGAATTATTATGAATGAGCTGTCCTTTTCCTCAGCTCTAGTAACTGAGAAAACCTGCTCCACTGGCATATTTAAAAAGATATTACAGGGCACCTAGGTGGCTGTCGGTTAAGTGTCCGATTTTTTGATTTTGGCTCAGGTCATGATCTCAGGGTGGTTAGATGGAGCCCTGCGTCGGGTGGGAGCCTGCCTAAGTTTCTCTCCCGCTGCCCCTCCCACCCCTCTCTCTCAAAAAAAGAAAGAAAAGATCGGACAAACACTACATTAGTACCGTCTTCCAGGGCCATTCTCGTTTGGGCTTCTGTACTTTAAAACTACAATATATTCTACCTTGTTTTCAAGTGTCTTCCTAAGAGTCCGTAGCACACTGCATGTTCCCTGAGGGTCAGGGTATCCTTCTGCCTCTGTGTCTTGCATATAATAAACACTGAATGAATATAGAAATGAATGGAGGAAACAGCTACAAAACAGGCCTTGGAGTAATTAAGGCTGAAGAAACTGGGTTTTTCAGTAGTAGAGAAGGATAAGGTATGAGTTACCACAAAAAACAACAGAATATCTTTATGCTGATATGAGGAAAAGGACAATCACATTGGCTTGGAAGGGGATCAGTGAGGAGTTTCCTGAATACCATTTTTCAGGAGAGACAGCGCATCAAATGCAAATAATAAGTAATGTCATAGTTTAGTTTCACTGTCTATAAAGGGACTCATCATTCGCTCTAGACAATTCTTTCCCAAAACTGTGAGGGAGTTTAGTTTCCCAGGCCTGCTACTGAGCTCTTGCCATCTCTCTATCCATGAACAAATCAGCACGAGGAAATTAAGTACAAGTAGATACCCTGGGTGGGCTTATCCATCAAGGGAATGGGGGTCCTGAGGCAAACAGGCCCTCTATTTCTGAAGAGTCTCAACAAGAGAAAGGGAAAATCCCCAGCCCAGGATGGCTTCTCCTTTCACCTGCTTCATGAAATCCACCTGCCTGAACAACCTGCTCTCTGGCAGTGGCCTTCCACTCTGTACCCTCAGTGCTAGTGTCCTGAAACCTTCAGCGGGCGCATTAGAGCCTTACTCTGACAAGCGGGAATCTCGCAGTACTTCCAGTAGACTCCATCCTCATGCTCTGCCACATAGCACCAGGGGCTCACATCTCCATCTGGATTTCTGTCAGGGAAAGGACACACAAATAACATTTCTGTCATGTTAAGTCAACTCCCTTTTCAGGTTTACCAAAAAGGAATGCGTTAGCGTCTGTGTTATTTCTAATAATTGGTATGTATTTGTATTGGTATGTGCTGCCTCTTACAAAGAGAAAAATGCGGTGAGGGGGTGTGCCTGGCTGGCTCAGACTGAAAAGCATGTAGCTCTGGATCTCGGGGTCGTGAGTTCAAGCCCCACACTGGGTGTAGAGATTACTTAAAAAAAAAAAAAAAAAAAAAAGAGTAAGAGAAGAATGGTAACGCTACAAGAACAAACTCAAGGGTGCCTGGGTTGCTCAGTCGGTTAAGCGGCTGCCTTCAGCTCAGGTCATGATCCGAAGATCCTGGGATCAAGTCCCACATCAGGCTCCCTGTTCAGCAGAGAGCCTGCTTCTCCCTCTCCCTGCCTCTCTGCCTACTTATGTTCTCTATCTCTCTGTCAAATAAATAAATAAAATCTTAAAAAAAAAGTCTTTAAAAAAAAAAAAAGAACAAACTCATGCACTCTGACATACAATTCAGAATTTGGGGGTGGGGGCTGTGTGTGGTGAGCAAAGGTTATATAATTTTACAAAGATTCATGATAGTGTAACCAGGGCAACCGACCAGAGAACAAATCATGCCAAGCAGCACTGGCACCTTAAGTGTGCACACAGTGACGCCCACGGCGGAGTGCACAGGTGCTCTCAATACTGTGGATACGAATGTGAGTGAGCCCAGGGGCGCCTGGATGGCTCAGTCAGTTAAGCGTCCAACTTTGGCTCAGGTAGTGATCCCCTGACCTCAGGGTCCTGGGATCTAGCCTCGCATTGGAGACTTGATGGGCTCTGTGCCAAGCCTCTGTGAGGTCGGGAAACCTCCTTCTCCTCTTCCTCTACCCCTCCCCCACTTGTGTTTTCTCTCTGTCATATAAATAAAAAAAACTTTACATTTAAAAAAAAAAAAAGATGCGTGATGCCTGGGTGGCTCAGTAGGTTAAGTGTCTGCCTTTGGCTCAGGTCATGGTCCCAGAGTCCTCGGATCAAGTCCCACATGGGGCTCCTTGCTCAGCAGGGAACCTGCTTTTTCCTCTGCCTGCCGCTCCCCCTGTGTATACCTCTCTCTCTCTCTCTCTCTGACAAATAAATAAAATCTTAAAAAAAAAAAAAAAAAAAAAAGAACGCGAATGGATACCCATGATCAGGATGGCAATTTGGCAATTAAAGCCAAAGGCCCGAAACATATGCAAAGCCTCTTTACCAGGCAATTTCTCCTTTAGTACTTTAAATCTCCACTTACAAAGATGTTCATCGTAGCATTTTTATAATACAAACAAGTTAGAAACAACACTTAAGGATGGGTTAAATAAATGTTATATCCATATAAGGGAATGCTGAGTAGCTAGTAAAAATGCAGTGTAGAGACACATTTATTAATATAAAAAGACATCCACATGTCTTGTTGGTTTTTTTTTTTTTTAAAGATTTTATTTATTTATTTGACAGACAGAGAGCACAAGTAGGCAGAGAGGCAGGCAGAGAGAGGGGGGAAGCAGCCTTCCCGCCCAGCAGAGAGCCCGATGAGGGGCTCAATCCCAGGACCCTGGGATCATGACCTGAGCCGAAGGCAGAGGCTTTAACCCACTGAGCCACCCAGGTGCCCCTTGTTAGGTTTTTTAAAAGGTAGTTCGAAAACACGGTGGGTGACACAGTCCCATCATTTGAAAAGAGGTATTCAGGAAAGGATACACATCAAACCCCTGAAAGTATCTCTGGAGAATGGGACTATCAGTAATTAAAAATTTTTTTTTCTTTTCTTATTCTCTTTATTTTTCTATTTCTTCTACAATGAACACGGATTGTGTAATTTTTAAACAATAAAATAAAATTCACGTGCTACAGAGTCCACTGATAAGCTTTCACTAACATCAGGCTAGTTGGCACATGTTTGACAGAAGTGGGTCCTATTCCTCCCACAAAATACTAACTTCTCAGAAAAATCTGAGGAAAGCTAAGCCTAAGAGTTTCAGTCAGAACATGCAATCCTGTGATCCTGGTACCAACTTCTGATGCAGCACTAATATTTTTTAAAGGCTTATTTCACATTTCTAAAATGCCCTTGAAGGTCTTTTCAACTCAAGGGCACCATGACAATAATGGGCCATCCTGCTGTAACAGACCCCAAATGGCAAGGGTTACCATACATGCACATACACACAGAGAAACCTTGCCTCCAAGCTCCCTTTCTTTCCACTCAGAACACTGGAAACCCGACACGCCAGTTAGGCCGGAAATGGGCATAAAGACCCTGCCGCGGGAGCTCTGGAGCCACCCCTATCAGGCCCAGAGGGATAAGCCTATTGTGGGGCCCAGAAGATAAGCTGCCCCAAGCACAAAGGGTCCTTTCATTTTCTGTGCCCGAAGGCAGGTGCCAGCGCCAACTCTGCTCTTCCCTGTCCGTCTGCCTTTGCCTCTAATCCAGATCCGTCGAGCCCAGAGAAGTGCATTCCCATCACTCGCCATCTCACAGACATCTCCACTGCGATGGGTCTGGCACCCAAGCACAAGACAAACATGGTGTCGGATGTCAGCTGAGAAATCAAAGCAGGAGAACTTGTACAAAGCCCTTCTTTAAACAGAATTTCACTGTCATCTTCCTCCCTCTATTCACTGTCCAGCTTTGATGTAGTATTTGGTGAAGACGTTAGAAAACAACTGTTTATTATCAATGTCAAAACCATTCTGAAAAGCATCTGTATACTCAATAAAGAATAAGCAAATTCATCTTGGATTTCGCTGCCGAGCTAAAACAAAAGGCCTAGACCTGCTGATGTGATGATAATCAACATTTCGGCCTCCCTTTTTTCTGAAGTAAAAACTGGTAGTTCAGGTCTGGTACATTCCATCAAGTCAAAGGAGAGGCTGCCTCTGGCCAGGGCTGAGGAGGAAGGCAGTCATGTTGTGTCCCCCCCGCAACCCCCGCTGCTCTCCCAGTGGAGAACCATGTGCACTTGTGGGAGTCTGTGTAGGGCTGGGTGCTAATCCATGTATGAGAAAAGACTTTCTTTTTCATATAAATTAAACCTCTTTGGAAATTTAAAATTCACCTTAAAGTCAGACTTAAACCTAGGAGTTCTTCTGAGAAGCCATGCTTGAAAGAAAGCAACAGAATAATAGCATAAACTAGTAGCCCTCTATCGAGAGGCGCTTTGGGACAAGACTATAAGTAACTATTGTAAAAACAAACAAAAAAAACTCTAAACATTGGTTTCTCTTCCTAAATATTCTTCCCAACCCAACTCTTTCTATGAGTAGCAAAAGGGATGGAAATAAACCAGAAATGGAGTGGGGTTAATTTCTGTAATCATGCAAAAATGATCTTAATGAACATGTAAACCTCTGAAAACAAAATGTAAAAGAATGACTTCATGAGCATGTGTAATTTTAACAATAAAATGCAACAGATAGCAAAACGTGAAGTAACACAGATTGTTACCTCTGGGAACTGGGGCTTGCTGAGGATTTTAGGGGAAAAGATGTCAAAAGATGACCTTATTTAAGCAATATGTATCTGTAGTTTTTGAGATTTTGGAAAAGCTTTTAAGATTTTTATAATAACAACTAAAAAATAATGCAATGGTGACTGCAGGGGAATGGCCAGTTGGAACAAATTAGAGCAGAGGTGAAGGAAAGAGCTGCAGGCACAGGGATAACCTGGACGACAGGCCTGGGACTTCAAGATGCCCACAAGGGTCCTGGAATGTTAGGAAAGTTACATAGGGAGAGCAGAAAGTAAACCATGTGGTCCATGCAAGGCAGGTATGACTATGTTGGCTCAGCAGGGTCGACAGTGCCACAGCTGAGTTTCCAACATTCGGTAGAACCAGGGACACAGCGTGAGACTCAAAGAGTAGCTCGGTGAACATTTCTGCCTTTGCACCTGTCCTTAATACTAATTAATTTGACACAGTGCTGAACCATGAGTCACATTATCAGGCTCTTGAGTATAAATAGCTTAAATGTAGCTATCACCAAAAGTGCTTAGAATCTTTCTTTGCTCTTGTCCCTATAGACCAGCGTCTTAACTTGCTTTGGATCACTGATAACTTTGCGACTCTGATCAAAGTTATGGGTCATTTCTGTGGAAAATCTCTAGCTGAAGCGTCTTGGATCTTGGGTAAAGAGCCCCTGTCAGAGTTAACAGGAGGTAAACACCAAAGAAACACCGTATTCTCCGGAGAGGAAGGAAACAGCACAAATCTGATGGTTGCAGCTGCTCCTAGAGCAATGCTCTCCTGGACTGGCGAGAGGCGGGATAATGTAGGATAGCTTCCTTTACTCAGAAGCAGAGGGAGGCTCGGGCCACAGGCAGTGCTCTGTTTGACCACCACATTCCCAGGAGCTTAAAAAGCTTTGCCATCTGTGTATTGTCCACTGGCGGCGGGGCCAACTAAGAAAGCCCTTCCCAAGAGATGTGTAAGTGATCAGACAGGAAAGCAGAGCTCTGAAAACCTGCATCAAAGCAACCAGAGTTGAAAAAAGAGTGGTAGAATGTGTGTGTTTGTGTGTGTGTGTGTGTGTTTGTGTGTGCACGCCACACACACAAGCAAGGTGTGGGAGGAAGATTTTTTAAAATAGTAACAAGAAAGGCCTTCTGAGTTGGTCAAAAGGAGACAAAGAAGCTTTCCATAGTTGTGAGCAAGGTTGGAAGGGACTGGAAAAGAAGGCCAAAGATTTTTTTTTTTAAGCACTGTGTGGCCCCATCTTACCTGCAGTAGTTATGCTCGCCGAGACCCCCCTCCCCATTGGGGTATTTCAGAGTGTTGTATGGATGCTGGAAAGTCTCGTTCCAGAACAGGCATGGCTTCCCACCTTGTAGTGCCGTCCAGTTCTGCGTTCCCCTATAATCTGCACCATTGGCCGTGAAACATTCTAGGAGAAAGAAAAGACAGAGCAAACTAATTTTCTGGCAACATCCATAGTCTCCTCCCTCTCTGGTTGATGTTTTATTTGTTTTGTTTGGACCCAGCTGGAAATGGATAGTGTCTTGCTAGATCCTGGACACCGCGAAGTTAACATTGCTCAGGCTGAGTAAACCTGAAACGCAGTCCCCTTCGAACGCAAGGCTAGTCTTGGCACTAGCTTGCCTACAGACACTTTACAGATACTTTTCCCCTAGAGTATACAGATCCAACTCGGATATAAACAGGGAGCTGAAATGTACTGAAGCCCATGAAGTGAACCGGGAAACCCCCAAATCTGGGAACAGTGGGTAACAGCCATCACAAGGAATTGTGGGTGCTCGGAGGGGGTCACTGGTCTCGCCAGTGTCTCTGTGTGGTAACTAGAACCAGGTCACCAGCTGTACGTGAGTTCTCCCCTACAGTCTGAAAGGCTGCACTGACACTTGGATTTAATAAGCCCATCGGATACAGCAACGCTTTGGAATCCCAATCACACAAGTCTGGGAATGACTCACATTCCCTGGTAATGAAGAACAGTCCTCCCCATGCTGTTTGAGATAGAGATGCAATGGAACAGACAGTCAATAGGAGGGAGCGGGGGCCAAGTTGGCATTTTGTCTCACCTCTTTCCAAAATTCCTCCCTACAAGACACACAGAACGTCGTCTCAGGTCCATTTAATAAAATGACAAAATCCTTGCAGGTGCAACAATGTGCTTCTAAAATCTGCTTCTCAGACTTCGGGGGGATGGGAACCGAGGCTGATAGGATTTCCCCCCACATATTGCATGCATTAAATTCACAGAGGTTCATGAGAAAGGCACAGTACAAAGAGCAATTTTTAAAAATTAGCTTAGTTGAAACTGACAGATAGAAGTACTTCAAACACTTCTTTAAGATGTATCCCTTGGAACCTGATGATCTGGGGGAGTTACGCTAACATTCTCGGCTTGCTTGCTCCCCTGTCCCTGGCACGCACTGACCTCTAACTTCCGGTATGAAGGACTCTCAGTGCTGTCTCCTGTTGCAAGGCATGTGCCTGTTCCAGCCTACGCATGCGAACAACATGAACGCATCTACATTCTAGGAGCTACGTCTTCTAATATTTAAAATCTACCCTCAGACCATCTCGCTTCCTATACCCCCTTCCTCCCACTATCTGGGCTTTTCTTTGCCTGGAAGAGCATGGTTTTATGGACAACCAAAATAACCTGGAATTCCAGGATGCACAGAACATCACAGCGACTCATCATGTTTGGTGTGACATCCATATGCCAAGCCAGTACGACTCATCAGATACTGAAACAACCACTTTGCCCAGAGTGTGCATAAATACAAAACGTTAAAGGTCGTTCAAAGAGGCAGCCCAGTGTAACATAAAATACACTGAACGGAGAGGCTAAGCTCTGGTTTCTTTTCCTGGACCTGCTGCGGGCCAGCTGTGTGACCTTGGACGAGTCACCATCACCCAAGGCACCACTAACACATAGTATTTCACCGTATGCTGAGCTCTGCTCTAAATGCTTCACAAATATCAACTCCCCACCAACCTGAAGTGGAGGTCTCAGTATCCCATTTTACAAATGTGACCACTGGGTCACTCAACCATCTTTCAGTGCCCCTAGAGGACCTCTTCAGATCATCCTTGCTTTCTCTGTCACTTCCCTCACCACACTTCCCCCTCATCAGCAAGTCCTGTTGACTTTCTTAAAATATATACCCCGAAACTGCCCTCTCCTCTCCATCTTGGGTGCCCCCACTTTAGTCCCATTCACATTCAGAGGACAGTTCAGCCTCGTTCAGGATTCACAGCCTCACTTCTGTCCTCTTGCAACTCATTTTCTGCATGGTGCCCAAAGTTCCCAGGAAAATATGAGCGCTGGGTACAAAACCCAAACCCTTCACCCATGCCTGCTAAGCCCCAGGCCTTTCCTCTCACTGCACCCTGAGCTCTTCTCCTAGTCACTCGCCCGTGCTCCTGCCACACTGGCCTGCTTCTAATTCCGTAAACACACCATGCTATTTCCTGCCCCAAATGTTCTTCCTCTAATACCTCCCAGTGCAGACTAAATGTTCACTCCTCAGAAAACCTATCCCTACCATCTCCACTCCTAGTTTTCTGCCTTTAGTCTAGTTTGCTTCATAGCATTCATTATCACTAGAAATATATATGATCTGCTAGACAGGGAGAGAGAGAGAGAGACTCTGTGCGCGCGCGCGCGTGTGTGTGTGTGTGTGTGTACCAAACCCTATCCTGACTCAAGGGTTAGAATGGGACCTGGAAACTGTATTTCTAAAAATCTGCCTCAGTGCTTCTGTTAAGTAATTTGTTTTGGGAACCACTAGACTAGATGATTCTAAGAGCATCAAATCAACCTTTTGCCGATTGCTAGAATTTTAATTGCTGCGTGCTGATACATCTTGTCCTCCTACCACAAGTGGTTGGGGAGTGGCCCAGGAGCCAGAAATGCCAGCCAACCAATGGAAGCCTTAGCCATAAACAGCAATTTGCAGGACAGTGGGGTCAGTGTTCCCAGAGGCTCAGATGACTTGATTTGTAACACAAAAGAATGTGGTGGCCATCCACACCTGTCAGTCCTCCTGAATGGGGATGAGGAGGCATCTGAGAGAGCGAATGGCAAAATGTAGGCTTCTTTGCTTCAGTCTGTTTCTCCTAGACCCAAATCTTATTCTCATTGCATTAGGGAAAGTGAGAGAGCGTACCACATTTTATGATTTTTTAATGGATTTGCCCAGTGCATATCAATTGTGGACAAAAACAAGAAAAACAAACTTGAACATTCTGGATTAAAGTGACATGAGCATTTTGATTTCATCAGAAGACCACAGTGGGTAATGAGGACCCCTTCTCCCTTATTGTCTACTGCTAAAAAACTGACATAAGCTTTGGCTAGATAAACAAGAAATGGCTTAAACCAATAAGAAATAAGATATCACATGGCCAGCTGTATATTTAGGCATTCAGTGAAAGGGAATGAGCAAAGGTGATAGATCTCATGTCTAGCATATTCTTAATTAACCCATTCAACAAATATTTATTCAGTACATACTATGTGTCTGGCACTGTTCACAGCACTGGGGCTACAATGGTGAACACTCGGCAGTCACGGAGCTTACATAGTAACAGGGGGGCCACGCTCATAACAAACCATTCAAATTCACGTCAGATAGTGAGGAGTGCTGAAAGGAAAAATGGAGTAAGGGGATGGAGACTGAATGGTGGGGGTTCTATTTTGGGGGGGGTGGGCCCAAAAAAGGCCTGGAGGGGAGGGGGCATTTGAGCAGAGATATGGTCAAAGGGAGGAAACAAAACCATCTTAAACGCGTGGGGAGAGCAGTATTGGCAATGGGCACAGTGAAGAGGAGACCCCTGAGGGCCCCAGTGTGCTTGGCAGGTCTGGGGAACTAAAAGGCAGCTCCTCTAAGCAGGAGTGGGTGAGGAGCGAAGAGGAGGGGGAGGAGAGAGGCAAGGCCAAGGACACACAGGGTCTAGAGCATTATATAAATCAGATTTTGGCTTTTGTTCTGAGTGTGAGGGGAAGCCAGTGGAGGGTTCTGGGCAGAGAAATGACATGATCTGACTTATCTTTCAAACCCACTGTTTAAAAAAATAAAAGCCAAAAAAACAAAAACAAAAACAACTGTCTAGCTGCTGGGTGGAGAAAGATATCTGGAGAGGCAGGAACTCATCGGGGACATCTGTCAGGTGGTTACAGCAGAAAGACGAGCTAGAAAAGATGCCCTGGACCAGGCTGGCAGCCGAAAGGTGGTGAGAAGTAGCCACATTCTGGATATGCTTTGAAGGCAGAGCCAAAACTATTTGCTGAGAGAAAGAGGAGTCGAGGCCCACCCCAAGGACATGGGCCTGAAGGGAGACTCCATTTACTACAATGGGGAGGCCCCAAGAGGGGCAGAGTACGTTGGGTGGAACCAGGCTTTGGCTGTGGATCGGTTAAGTCTGAGACACCTTTCAGAACAGTGGGTGGAGATACACAAGAAGCAGATGGCTTGATGAGCCTGGAGCTGAGGAAAAGGGCTGAGCGAGGCTGGCTGGAGCTAGAAGTGTGGCAGTAACAGCGCAGATGCGTGGAAAGAACAGGGTTACCGCAGGTGGAGAGAGAAGACATCTGGGCCTGAGTCCCGGGGCCCTGCAACATTTCAGGCAAGGAAAGAGGAGGGCCTGGCATTGATGAGTGAGAAAGTGTGCCCTGGGAGGTGGGAGAAAAGCTAAGAAAGTGTGTGCATCTTGAAAGTCAAGGGAGAAGGTGTCCTGAGCAGGAAGGAATAATAAACTGTGAACACCAAGGAAACTTCATTTCCTCATTTTCTCTGGCCAGATCCCAATTACTTCATAGAAGTCATCTGTCTGACCCTATCTCTCCATCGGAAAACTCCAAATGTTTTGTTGTGGGGACTCAATGAAAACAGCCCTTGCGTTAAACATAAGCCTGACAGAAATTTAGTAATACAGCAGAAAATTTCCTCAGTGAAGCTGGCATCAAAGCACCGAGAGTACTAATTCCACCCTTCCAAGTTGGTAATTCCTTATCTATTCCCCCGTCACCAAAATCCTCCAAAGTATGGCATATGACATTTATTTTCGAAATTGGAGATGCTAATTTTATTGAAATTCCTTTGCCGATAAATGGAATCACATTAGGGTAAATCAAATCCTTGGTTGAGAATCTTGAGGAAATGGTTTTGTGCCAACCAACTATTTTCTGTAGGAAACCAGTACCCCATGCAGGCCTGGCAGTAATTTCCGTGGTAGTAAGATATGCAGGTAAAGACTCCGCCTTTGGGTGAAAGCTCGGTATTCCTTCATTGCTAAGAAAAGCTAGCTGGAGCTTTCTCTCATAAAGCTGTGATTGTTCGTTATGCTTAGAATTTCGAAGGGTTGGGTATAAAGAAAAGCCCTGATGCTATATTCTAAACTTCGATATTTATG